AGCATAATGCTTTCCAGTTCCATCCATGTTGTTGCAAAGGGTAGTAGCTCCTTCTTTCTCTCTGCTGCATAGAATTCCATTGTGTATATGTACCACAATTTTTTGATCCATTCGTTTACTGATGGGCACCTAGGTTGCTTCCAACTCTTGGCTATTGTAAATTGTGCTGCTATGAACATTGTGGTGCATAGGTTCTTTGATATTGATGTTTTAGGATTCTTGGGGTATAATCCTAGCAGTGGAATTGCTGGGTCAAAAGGCAGGTCAATTTTTATTTTTCTGAGAAAATTCCATACTGTTTTCCATAATGGTTGTACCAGTCTGCAATCCCACCAACAGTGAACTAAGGTCCCCTTTTCCCCACAACCTCTCCAACATCATTTGTATACAAAAATGCCTTTGATTTCTGGATATTGACTTTGTATCCTGCTGTTTTGCCAAATTCATTAATTAGTTTGAGCAGTTTTTGGGTAGAGTCTATAGGATTTTCCATGTACACTATCATGTCATCTGCAAACAGTCACAGTTTTGTTTCCTCCTTTCCTATTTGGATGCCTTTTATTTCCTTTTCCTGCCTGATTGCTGTGGCCAAAACTTCCAATACTATATTGAATAGAAGTGGTGAAAGTGGACATCCTTGTCTTGTTCCTGATCTTAGTGGAAAAGCTTTTAGTTTTTTCCCATTGAGTATGATATTGGCTGTAGGTCTCTCATAAATGGCCTTTATTATATTGAGGAATGTTCCCTCTATTCCCACTTTGCTGAGTGTTTTTATCATAAATGGGTGTTGTACCTTATCGAAAGCTTTTTCTGCATCTATTGATATGATCATGTGGTTTTTGTCTTTGCTTTTCTTTATGTGATGAATTACATTTACTGTTTTGTGAATGTTGAACCATCCTTGCATCCCTGGGATGAATCCCACTTGGTCATGGTGTATAATCTTTCGGATATATTGTTGGATGCGATTTGCCAATATTTTGTTGAGGATTTTACCGTCTATGTTCATCAGTGATATTGGCCTGAAGTTTTCTTTCTTTGTTGTATCTCTATCTGGTTTTGGAATTAGGATGATGCTGGCTTCATAAAAAGGAGTTTGGGAGTTTTCCATCCTTTTGGATTTTTTGGAATAGTCTGTGAAGAATGGGGGTTAGCTCTTCCTTAAATGCTTTGTAGAATTCTCCTGTGAACCCATCTGGTCCAGGGCTTTTGTGTGATGGGAGTTTTTTTTATTACTGCTTCAATTTCTTTTGCTGTTATTGGTCTATTCAGGTGTTCTACTTCTTTTTCATTGAGTTTTAGGAGATTATATTTTTCTAGAAATGTGTCCATTTCCCCTAGGTTCTCAAATTTCTTGGCATACAGTTCTTCATAGTAATTTCTTACAATCCTTTTCTATTTCTGTGGTATCAGTTGTAATCTCTCCTCTTTCATTTCTGATTGTGTTTATTTGTGTCCATTCCCTTCTTTTCTTGATGAGCCTACTTAAAGGCTTGTCTATTTTGTTTATCTTTTCAAAGAACCAACTCCTGGATTCACTGATCCTTAGAATTGTACTTTTAGTCTCTATGTCATTTAGTTCTGCTCTGATCTTAGTTATTTCCTTCCTTCTACTTGCTTTGGGCTGTTTTTGTTGTTGTTCCTCAAGTTCTTGCAGGCGTAGAGTAAGGTCGTTTGTTTGATATGTTTCTGTTTTCTTTAGGTAGGCCTGTATTGCTATAAACTTCCCTCTCAGGACTGCCTTTGCTGTGTCCCATAAGTTTGGGGTTGTTGTGAGATCATTTTCATTTGTTTCCAGAAACTTTTTGATTTCTTCCCTAATTTCATTCTTGACCCATTCGTTGTTTAATAGCATACCATTCAGTCTCCATGATTTTGGGTGTTTTGGGTTTTTTCCTTTGGGGTTGGTTTCCAGTTTCAGTCCCTTGTGGTCAGAGAAAATGCTTGGTATGATTTCAATATTCTTGAATTTGTTGAGGCTCGTTTTGTGTCCTATCATGTGGTCTATCTTTGAGACTGTTCCATGTGCATTTGAAAAGAATGTGTATTTAGCTTCTTTGGGGTGAAGAGCTCTGTATATATCAGTTAGGTCCATTTCATCAAGGGTGTTGTTTAATGCCGCAATGTCTTTGTTGATATTTTGTTTGGAAGATCTGTTCATTTTTGATAGTGGGGTGTTAAAATCCCCCACTATAATTTTGTTGCTGTCTATATCTTTCTTGAATTCCTCTAAGATTTTCTTTATATATTTTGGTGCTCCTATGTTGGGTGCATATATATTTATGATGTTAATGTCTTCTTGGTGGATTCTTCCCTTGAGTATTATGAAGTGACCTTCTGGGTCACTCTTTATGGCTCTTTTTTTGAAGTCTATTTTGTCTGATATGAGAATTGCTACCCCAGCTTTTTTTCTTGTCCATTTGCTTGGAAACTTTGTTTCCAGCCTTTCACTTTTAGTCTGTGATGGTCTTTTGTCCTGAGGTGGGTCTCTTGTAGGCAGCATATGTGTGGGTCATACTTTCTTATCCATGACGCTATTCTGTGTCTTTTGATTGGAGCATTTAATCCATTTACATTTAAGGTTATTATTGATAGGTACTTATTCATTGCCATTTTTGTACCTGTGTTCCTCTCTGTCTGTCTCTTTTCCTTCCTTTCCTTAAAGCAGACCTTTTAGTATTTCTTGTAGAGCTGGCTTGGTGGCAGCAAATTCTTTTAGACTTCTTTTGCCTTGGAAGCCCTTTATTTGGCTTTCTATCTTGATTGAGAGCCTTGCTGGGTAAAGTAGCCTTGGTTGTAGGCCTCTGGTTCTCATTACTTGGAATATTTCTTGCCAGTCTCTTCTTGCTTGGAGTGTTTCCATTGAGAAGTCAGTGGCTAATCTTATTGGGACTCCCTTGTATGTTATTTCTTTTTTCTCCCTTGCTGCCTTTAAGATTCTCTCTTTGTCTTGGAATTTTGCCGTTTTAATGATGATGTGTCTTGAAGTGGGCCTCTTTGGGTTCCTCTTGAATGGGACTCTGTGTCCAATGGGATTCATGGATTTGTGTGACTTTTTCTTTTATCAAATTAGGAAAGTTTTCTCTCATTATTCTTTCAAATATGTTTTCTATCCCTTGATCTTCTTCTTCTCCTTCTGGTATTACTATTATTCGGATATTATTACGTTTCATATTGTCTTGCATTTCTCTTAATCCCTTTTCATTCTTTCTGAGCCTCTTTTCCCTTTCCTGTTCTTTCTGTGAGATGCTTTCTACTTTTTCCTCCAATTCACTAATCCGATCTTCTGTTTCATCTGCCCTATTTTTAGTGCTTTCTACTGTGTTTTTTAATTCAGAAATTGTATTCTTCATCTCCTCTTGGCCCTTGCTAATAATTTCCATTTCCTTTTTCATGTTGATATAGTTCACGGTGAGATCATTGTAGCTCCCCTGTAGTTTCTGGTAGCTGATTGTGAGCTCTTTGAACTTCCTGATAACCAGTGCTTTGAATTCAGTATCTGATAGTTGACTTGCCTCTGTTTTATCTAACATTCTTTCTGAGGGTTCCTCCTTTCCTTTCATTTGGGGATTGTTTCTTTGTCTTCCCATTGTTTGTGAGACTCTTCTTGTTAGCCTCAGCTTCTTAGATTAATCTGTTTTGACACCCTGGGTTTATGGTGTGAACTTTTGTGGTGGAATGCCTGTGAATTTCAGTGGTGCAGTGTCTTTTGGTTATCCTGTCGTTCTCTGCTTCCACCTACTCAAATATGCAGCAACTTTTGGCTTCTCTCCTACAACAATGTGCAATTTGTCTCTCTGACTCTACTATTGGGAGGTCTCTTCTATGGGTCCAGCTCTGGTCTTTTCATATTTTCAAGTTGATTGTGTCTCGTCTGGTTCCTCCGTGACCGATGAGGTTTCTGGTCTCTTATTTGCATATATGCTTGGCAACTGCTGGCTTGCTGGCCTCACCTCCTCTGATCAGATAGGTTTCTCTCTCTCTTTTGTACTAGGAACTGGTATCTGCTTCGTCCTAGTCTACCGCCATCTTGAAACTCCCATATGTATAACTTTTATTTTATATATATTTATGTATACATATATAACTGAGATTATATATGTGTGTGTGCGTGTGTGTGTGTGTGTGTGCGTGTGTAATCTGTTCCAATGAAGTGTATGGAGAAAGATAAAGCAGGAAAGACAATTAGGAAGTTTGTGAGCAAGTAACACAATTTTAATAAAGGGTTCTCAGGAAAATATACATTGAGAAGGTGGTATTTGAGTACCTCAAGGAGGTAAGAAATGAGTCATGAGAATATCTGAGGGGAAAGCATTCCTTGGAGAGAGAATAGCAAATGAGTAAGCCCCAAGTTGGAAACACATCTGGCTTGTTCAAGAGCAAATGAGGCTCAGTTAGAGTGATCAAGAAGAGGTAATAGGATGTGAGCTCAGGGAAGTAAAGAGAACATAATCTGACTTACGACAAAGCAAAATCTCTTTGGCTGCTCGGTGGAGAAGGCTGAAGGGAAGTGAGAATGGAAGCAGAAAGACAGAAATGATGATGGGTTATGAGTATACTTTGTAGATAAAGTAGACCAGGCCTTTCTGAAAGGTAAGATGTAGGAGTAAAAAAAAAAAAGAGTCAAAAACGACACCACATGTTTTGGATTGAACAACTGAAATTATTTCCATTAACTGAGATAGGGAAGTCTGAAATGGGATGTGCTTTAGAAAGCAATGTCAGCTGTCTGACTGATAGAGCATAGTAAATTTTTGTTTTGTGTTGTTTTGTTTTGGGGAGGGTGGGTGCATTTTACTTCAGAAACTGACCGTGTTCAGGGTTCTATATTGTCACCTAGTGAATTATTCTTGTGTTCGTGACAGGTAAGAAGCATCTTGCTGTAAAAACTAACCCACCATTTTCTAACTTTTCAGACAAAGCTGCCTTGGAAAGAGCCAAGAAAAAATCCATCTCCCTTTGGCTGAGCAAGTACAGCTGAGTGGCCCTCAGGGGAACCCATGGAACCCCAGAAACTGCTGAGCATTGCATTTCTGCTATGCTCTCTGACTTGCCTCTTATTGGAAACTATAGTTTCCTCTGTGTTACCTTCATCTGCCTTTGGAATACAAGACAAAGCAGGATTGAAACCTCGCTCAAGGGGTGTGTTGGCTGTCAGAATAAATGTTCCTACCTTCCAAAGAGATAGCATGCATGTCTCTGGTCAGGAAAAACTGATTTTGTATTTAAAAATAATGTTCACAGGAGAGCAAATGATTAGGGTTTGGTTCAGTTTAGTTCAACAAGTACTAACCTATCCACTGTGCACTGAGCCCTTTGCTAAATGACATGAATTGCAAGTTCACAGGTGGACCACCAAAGCCATAGATGCCAACTTCCCATGGAGTATAACAAATGCTCCCCAAAGACAAAAAGATAATTAAAGTTGTTTTGGTGGAGCACTCAGGGAACATTTGATAAAGGAAGTGAATTTAAGGGAAACCTGGTGACCCACTGATCCGGCTTAGGTGCTCCCAAAGCCCAGCTTCCAATATGCACATTTGCTGCTCAGATCCTTTCCAGAGGTCCAGCTCTGGAAACTGCCTTGCTGGTGAGTGGTGAACCCTCTTGACACCACACCAGAGACACTTTTGTTTTCCCTGCCTCTCTCCTTAGGGTTAAATCACAGTACCCACTCCTTCCTTCCCCACTTCCTAAAGAAAACAACCAATATCTTTAGCCTTACCTTAATCAACAGACTCCCTCTAAAGTTCCTTCAGCCAGTTGCCCTGGCACCTTCCCACTCAGGATGCTCCTGGGGCTGGTGGCCTTCTCCTTTCTCTTCATGAAACACTCACTACCTTCAGTCTCCAGCAGAACTCCCAAACATACTCCGACAACACATTAATTATTAATTTATGTTCCTCTTTCACAAAGTACCCCATTTTAAAAATTTTTTATTTAGTTATTTTTTAAGTACAGTTTTTTGTCTATTTCGCCCATCCCAGCCCCCCCCGCCCCATGCTCCCCACCTTCCTCCCATTTCCTCCCCCCAGTCCTCATCCCTGTGTCCTTCATACTTGTTCCTCCAAATCCCTCCCCTTTTTTCCCCTTAAATTCCCTTCACAAAGTACCCCATTTATTCACCAAGACCTCAAATTAGCCCTTAAGTTATCTAGAGCAGGGCTTATTGCTCTTATTTGACTCATGAGAAGGCAAAGATTATATCCATCTGAGGATATCTTTTTTTTAATATGTACCCCTTGAACATTTTAGAGGAAGCACAACAGAGTACATAAGAATACAGACTCTGGGCAACTGTAAGAGCATTATAATCTAGGACAACTATTTGAACTTGAACCAAGATTGAAATCCCAGCCTCATCATTTATTTGACCTCTCCTTAATGAAACTCTATGCTCTTTCTACAGAAAACCACAGGTCCTGGCAGAGTAACTTCAGAGATTACTTATGGGATCTCATCAAAATTTCCATACCTCCAGCAGCCATTTTTGCTTTTGTTGTCAGCACAGCACTAATGGGGATCCTCTGCTGCCTCACGTAAGTTGTTGTAGGATGAGTAAAGGGGAGAAGAGAGGGAACCTGAGGAACAGACGAAAAATCAGGTTCCACACAAGCCTGCACAACAGTAATTAGGGAAAATTTTAAGGAAAGTGAGTCTGGGACCAAAACTCTGAAACGCCATTCAACCATCTTTTAAAACATCTCTACTTTTTTTTCTTTCCTCCAACCTGCTTTGTCCATTACTAATGACTTACAGGCAACACTTAATAACCAGTATTTGCAACTGCTCATTTTTTTTTACTAACTTCATTAAGTCCTAACTTTCCTTTCCTTTGGTTTTATATATTTATTAGTTATGTATTAAAAATACATAATTAACTGTTTTACCAATTGCCTGAAAATTTACCAAACTATTTATCTACATTTGCAGTTTTCAATTGGTGTGCCAAAACAATTATTTTATTTTTTAATTATATTTTATCGATTATGCTGTTACAAGTTGTCTCAATTTTTACCCCTTTGCCCTCCTCCACACTGCACCCACCTCTCCCTCAGACAATCCCCTCAGTTTGTTCATGTCAATGGGTCATGTATATAGGTTCTTTGGCTACTCCATTCCTATACTGTACTTTACATCTGCATGGCTATTCTGTAACTGCCTTTTTGTACTTCTTAATCCCCTCACCTCTTCCTCCCCTTCTGCCTACCCCCATCCCATCTGGCAACCATCAAAACACGCTCCTTATCCATGATTCTGTCTCTATTCTTATTTGCTTTGTTTTTTAGATTCAATTTTTGATGGATATGAACTTTTTGCCATTTTATTGCTCATGGTTTTTGTCTTCTTTTTCTTAAATAACTCCCTTTAACATTTCATATAATAAGGCCCTTCAGTTTTTTTTTTCTTGTCTGGGAAGCTTTTTATTTGCCCTTCAATTCTAAACAATACCTTTGCTGCATAAAGTAATTTTGGCTGTAGGTCCCTGCCTTTCATGACTTTGAATATTTCTTGCCAATCCCTTCTAGCCTGCAAAGTTTCTTTGGAGAAATCAACTGACAGTCTATGGGAAGTCCCCTGTAGGTAACTAACTGCTTCTCTCTTGCGGCTTTTAAGATTCTCTCTGTATCTTTAACCTTTGGCATTTTAAATATGATATGTCTTGGAGTGGACCTCTCTGTGCTTCCTGGACTTGCATGTCTATTTCCTTCACTAAATTAGGGAAGTTTTCTTTCATTGTTTTTTCAAATAGAGTTCCAATGTCTTGTTTTTGCTCTTCTCCTTCTGGCACCCATGTGATTCGAATATTAGACCTCTCAAAGTTGTCCCAGAAGCTGCCTATACTATCCTCATTTTTTGGAGTTCTTTCTCTTCTTTTTGTTCTCATTGGTTATTTTTTACTTCCTTATGTACCAAATCATTCATTGATTCTCAGCTTCATCCACTGTACTGTTGTATCCCTGTAAATTGTTCTCTATTTCAATTAGTGTATCCTGCATTTCTGACTGGATCTTTTCATGCTGAGGTCCTCACTAAGATCCTTGAATATCTTCATAACCAGTGTTTTGAACTCTGCGTCTGATAGATTGCTTATCTCCCTTTTGTTTAGTTCTTTTTCTGGAGTTTTGATCTGTCCTTTCATTTGGGCCATGTTTCTTTGTCTCCTCATTTTTGACAGCCTCCTTGTGTTTGTTTCTATGTATTAGGTAGAGCTACTTTGGCTCCCTGTCTTGGTGGTGTGGCCAAATGTAGTAGGTGTCCTATAGGGTCCAGTGGCACAGCCTCCCCTATCACCAAAGCTGGGTACTCAAAGTGTGCCCTCTGTGTAAGCTGAGTACACCCTCCTCTTATAGTTGAGCCTTGGTTGCTGTTGGCAGATCAATAGGAGGGATTTACCCAGGCCAGCCAGCTGCAAGGATGGTCTGTGACCATTGACCACTCACCTCTGCCCTCTGTGGAGGATCAGCGGTGCAGGGGCAGGGTGGTGGTGTTCCGATGTGGTCTGTAGCTGTCCACTGGATGCTCTGACCATGGGATTTCCTGGGTGGTACAGACCAAGGTCAGCCCCCACCTGTGTTTTGCCAGGGCTGCCCTGACTGAGCTATAAAGCAATCTGAGATGTCTGCTACTGGTGCTGGGCTTGAAGATTCTTAGGTGAAGCCAAGCTGTGAATCTAGGCTGGCTGCTGCTAGTGCCAGGCCAGGGGCCACTTAGCAAGAAGCACAGGGACTAGGGGCTCACTGAAGTTGGCTGTTGCTTGTTTGAGAAGATTTAGGAAGTTGTGAGCATGAGCTAAAACAAGCCATTCATATGGAAAATCCACTGTTAAAAGCTTGGGTGAGCCAGTAGGTTGAGTGGGACAGAGTCTCTGGGATCTACAGGGTAGGGCATACAGTGTAAGCCAGGTTGATGGAATCTCAGGTATGGCACCAGAGCTCTGTGGCTCTGTGGAAAGGGTTCAGAAAAGGGACAATGGCCTCTGCTCACTTTGATGCCAGACACTTGTTTTTCCCAGTATGTCACTGGTGCCTGTCAAACTGCTACCCTGGTGCTGGAGCTCAGAAGGACTGAGTCTGAGTAAGTCCATGTGTGGGTTCTTTAAGAGGAGCAGCTTGGGACTGCAGAATTTCCTTACACTGACTCAATCCCCACTGGTGTTTGAAGCCAGAAGTTGTGGGGACTTATCTTCCTGGCACTGGAACCCTGAGCTGTGGGTCCTAGTGTGGAGCTGGGAGTCCTCAAACCAAATTTTTAAACATAGAATACCTGACTGTTTAGTCAGGGTACTGACCTCCTTTTCCCTAGATTGTCAAATAAAATATGACAATAGCTAACACAACAGCCATCTGGTGTGAATGAATCAAAATTATACTTAAATTTTGGTCAAAAAGGCAAAAAATATATTTTGGTGTGCCACAGAATTTTAGCAATTACTTTATGTGTGCCATGAGATAGAAAAGGTTGAAAATAGCTGATCTAAATAAATCACATGAAGCCAAAGAGATTCCTGAAATAGTTGATGATATATTTAAGTATAGCTAGAAAAGCATAAATTTTATTAATTCAGTTGGTACTTCCCAAGAGACAGTATCTGACTGTCTCTGTCCTGGTTGCTAGAGAGACAGAGCAATAATTACACACTGGTGGTCAGTGCTATAGTGGGAGACACTTCAAGTGGGGAAACCTATAAAAGTAGGTGATGGAATTAAAGAAGGTTTTGTGTAGTAAAGGACTGTTCAAACTTTGCAATGTAATAAAGTAGTTGAGAGCAAAGATTAGATGAAGAGTGTGGTGTCTCCCCCAAGACTACTAAGAACCTCAAAATGGTCACAGGATCAAGAATTGTGTCTAGGAAACAACCTTAGGTATAGTTACTGGTACACAGAACTGATTGGAGTCAAATAGAAGTCAGAAGTTTTTAAGAGAAGCTTACTGCCAAAGAAACCATAAACCAAAACAAAATGAGCGAGTCACTGTTTGAGTCTTAAACAGTTATTTGGACACAGGTTTGAAGGCTCCTAGGAGGGCATGCTCCCCAACACTGGCTTCAGATGCAGTCATAGAGAATAATGGACAGAAAGGGCCTCCTAGCAGATAGGCAATGGCCCAGGGAACTCCTCCTATAAAGCAAGATCCTTGCCTGATCAATGCCTGCCCAGCAGGATTCCAGGATAATTGCAGAGCAGTGACTGCTGTGTGTCTTCCATTCTTCCTCTTTCCACATGGTAATGTTTATGGTGGTTATCCTCTTCCTGTGGCAACCATCATGTATGGGTTGTGGAGATCAGGGTAGATAGCATGTTTCAGTTCATAGGTCACTTAACTAAGAAAAGCCAGACCCAGGTTTGAGAGATGCAAACATCACCCAAATGCTCTGGATTTTGAGCTGAACAGAGTAAGGAATGGATTTGAATCTTGGAGAAATGTTGTGCAACAAGCCAGGTGTTCTGGAAGCAGATAGTGAGATACAAGTTTGGTATGCATGGTATTGTCAGTGATCAATGCCTGTGGAGGGTGGGGGAAGAAAAGGAGAAATGAAACTGGCTTGCAAGTTCAACAAAGCCTTGGTTGACCCCATCAGAGCTGTCCCCACATTATAAAGGTCCAGGTGAAATAGCTGGACTTTTATAACCATGCCTTGATTCATTAATGGATGTGGGAAGTACAGGCAGCTCTTGACAGCTGAGGCAAACCCTAAAATTGCTAACAGCTAGAGGCTGTGTGTTGACAGCAGTCTCAGCAGCAAGGCCATTTCCAGGGGGGGATCTTGGTGTCATGTTTCTCCCATCCCAGTGTCATGTTTCTGTGTGCACTACAGCATGACTGTGTTCTATGTGTGGAAGGGAGAGTGGAACAGATATCAGGGGATCAGTAAAAAAGGCTGACAAGAGACTGGGTATGTGTTCACCAATCCTGTTCCTTCTTCCCAAACACAGAGGAAGAATGCGTTTCCTAACTGAAGAAGCCAGGACTCAAGTCAAGATATATCTGATTCTGTATTTTTTTAAAGATTTTATTTATTTATCTTTAGAGGGGAAGAAGGGAAGGAAAGAGGGAGAGAAATATCAATGTATGGTTGCCTCCTGTGCGTCCCCCGCTGGGAACTGGACTGCAACCCAGGCATGTGCCCTGGCTTGGAATCGAACCGTAATCCTCTGGTTCACAGGCCCACACTCAATCCACTGAGCCACACCAGCCAGGGCTGATTCTGTATCTTTTAAGTCATTGTTACTCAAATTATGGCAGCAGGCCAGCTGCATCAGAAACATTGGAAGTATTTTTTTTTTTAATTTTTTTATTGATTATGCTGTTACGGTTGTTCTATTCCCCCTTTCATTCCCCTCCACCCTACCCCCCCATCCCCACCATTACCCCCCTTTCGTTTATGACCATGTGTCTCAAGTCCTTTAGATTCTATATTTCCCATGCTATTCTTGCCCCCCTTCTATTTTCTATCTACTATCTATGCTACTTATTTTCTGTACCTTCTGCCCCCTTCTCCTCCTCCCACTCCCCTGTTGCTAACCCTCCTTGAGTTCTTCATTTCTATGAGAAACATTGGAAGTATTGATTAAAATGAACATCCAGAAAGGCTTCTGTGAAGATAAAGTAGGCAACATGCCAAGAGAAGTACTTCCTTCTTTGAAGTAGATGGCTTAACCTGAGGAGAAAATTCAGTAAGTCCTTGCTGGGAACAAACTGCCCAGTGAAAGAAACATCATGGCACTAGGGGCAAGAGGGAAGACCAGAGATAGCAAAACAAAATAAGACTTGGATGAAAAAATATAAAAGGAAATTTGAAATACAGGATCAAAAAAGTCAGCACTGCTCTGGCTGGTGTAGCTCAGTGGATTGAGTGTGGGTCTGCGAACCAGTAGATTGAGGTTCAATTCCCAGTCAGGGCACATGCCTGGGTTGCAGGCCAGTTCCCAGCAGGGAACCCACGAGAGGCAACCATACATTGATATTTCTCTCCCTCTCTTCTTCTTTTCCCCTCTAAAGATAAATAAATAACATATATTTTTTAAAAGCCAGCACTATTAAATAGAAATAAAGATTTTAATGAAAGTAAGAACCAAGAAAAATGATAAATGCAGGAGACAATTTCTTTGTAGAAGAAAAGCAAAATAATATAACAGAAAAAAATACTTCAAGGTATAATACTTAAATGTTGCAGAAATAAAGGAGGATTTGAGCCTATAGTCACAAAGGGCACATCAAGTCACAGGAAAAATAGGCACTTGGCCCTGGGCACATAATAGACTCTCAATAATACTTGTTGATTTTTTATTAGTGCATTTTACAGCAAGGATTGCAAATAGTTGCTCTGTGCCTCTTTATTCATCCTTTGTACTCACCAATACACTATTAGCTATACCTGTAATGAAGGCTTAATCCAGCTGCTGATTACCTGAGGAAATCAACATGGAAGCCTCTTGGCACTCGAGTGGCAATCAGGGGGACTTACTGGCACCACCAAGCATGCAAAGATACATGTATAAAGAATTTTTAATACTGTTTATAATAGTGAAAAAATAAATGTCCATTGGTTGGTTAAAGAAAGCATTGAACATTCTTCATACAATGAGTACTATATGCTAACCAAAACATTATTGTAGGAGGACAATTACATGGAATCATACTCATAAAACCTTGTTGAGTAGGAAAAAAATCAGAGTATAACAGAGGATATACAATTTAATCAAATTTGTTATTAAAAACTATATGTATGGGCCCTGGTTGGTGTTGCTCAGTGGATCGAGCATGGGCCTGCGAACCACACGATCGTGGTTCGATTCCCAGTCAGGTCACATGCCTGGGTTGCAGGCCAGTTCCCAGCAGGGGACACATGAGAGGCAACCATATATTGATGTTTCTCTCCTTCTCTCCTTCCCTTCCTCTCTAAAAATAAATAAATAAAATCTTTTTAAAAAACTATATGTATGGGAGAAAAGCCTTTAAGGACTTTACCAAAATATTAGACATTGGTTATCTCCTTGTGGTAGTGAATTGTTGGTTTTAATTATTACTATTGTTGTTATTTAATTTCATGTTTATTTCTGTCTATCTGCACTTTCTAATCTTCCCACAACAAACTGTATTGTTTGAATAGTACATTTTTTAAAAGATTCCTTAAAAGCAAAAGCAAAGCCCTGCCCTGTGTGGCTTAGTTGCTTGGAACATCACCCCATAAACCAAAAGGTAGCGGGTTTGATTCCCAGTCAGGGTTGCAGATTCTGTCCCTGGTCGGGGCACCTCCAAGAAGCAACCATTAGATGTTTCTCTCTCACATCATGTTTCTCTTCCTCTTTCTCTTTCTCCCTTCCTCTCTCTCTAAAAATCAATAAACATGTCCTTGGGTGAGGATTTAAAAAAAATAGAAGAGAAACTATCTGACCATACTTCTACCTCTACCACAAACCCCAACTGTACCAGAAACACATTCTTATTCTTTTTCTCAAGTCATCAAAGCATTTTATTCATATAAAATCATGTGGTTTATAGACAAGAAGTTGTCTAAAATCCTATCTTGGAAAAAGTGATGTAATGACAAAGTAACTTCTGTAAACCAGAAGAGTGTATAGGAATTTAAATTTTGTTCAGCACTCATTATTTTCTTTCTTTCCCAGTATTCTTGTAGGTGAACCAGACTAATGAAGTAGTAGAAAATTCAGCTGGGCTAACATGGAGTTCAGTTTGATGGATTCCAAGAGAGTGGAGAATGTGCTTACAATAAAGAAGTATCTATTAGTTAAAATTAAATTGTCTTAATCTGAAACTATTGTTGCCTTATTTTCTCTTTTAAAACATGCAATTGAAAAGTGGGAATAGTCTTATTACTGTGTTAATTATAAAAGTAATATATACTTGTTGCAAAATTATAAAAGTAATATATACTTGTTGCAAAATTTGTAATTATACTGTGTTAATTATAAAAGTAATGTTAATTATAAAAGTAATGTATACTTGTTGCAAAATTCTTTCATAAAATACAGAAAGAAGAAAGAGTACCCATAACCACAGAACCCAGAAATAAACATTGTTAAGATTGTGGTGTATCTCCTTTCAAACTTTCCCATGCTAATATTATCAGTTTTCCAAAATCTGTTCTATGAAACACTTCTGTTTTAATAAATGTCATGAGACAATAGGCACTCTGTGGTCAATTGAGTTTTGAGAGATGCTGTATTAAACAAATTTAAGCATGGTTCTTTTCTATTGTATTTATTGGGGTGACTGGTTAACAAAATTACAGGGGTTTCAGATGTGCAATTCTATAATACATTGTCTGCATATTATAGTGTGGGTTCACTACCCCAAGTCAAATCTCCTTCCATCACTATTTATCCCTCTTATCCTCTTCTATCTCCCTCCACCCCCTGCCTTTCCCTCTGGTAATCACCATACTCTTTTCTGTGTCTATGAGGGTTTTTTTGGGGAGTGGGGCTTAATCCCTTCCCCTTTTTCACCCAGCCTCCAACTCCCTGCCTGTCTGACAGTTGTCAGTCTGTTCTCTGTATCTATGAGTCTGTTTCTATTTTGTTTGTTTCTTTGTTCTAGCACCTCTAAGAGCCTTTAAAGACTAATATGAATCTCTGGGAGAGGACATAATGTGCAGAATTTCCAAAATATAAATTCGAACATGGGATTGAGAAATGCTGATGCACACACAGTTGCAGAAACTTGTTCACATAGATGCTTTTTCTTTTACCAAATAACATACAATGCATGCTCTTTTGTAGCTTACTTTTTTCTTCACTATGACATTGTGGACAAATTTCCATGTCAGTAAATATATGCCTACATAATTTTAATGTTGCATAGTATTCTTTGCAGTGGGTATGGCATAAGTCATTTAACCACTCCTCATATAATACTAATTACAGCAATTTGCCACATAATAATGTTCTGTCAGTGACAGACAGCATATATGACAGTGGGCCCATAAAATTATAATGGACCTGAAAAGTTCCTATCACCTAGTGAAACGGTAGCGGTCCTAGCATCCTAGTACAATGCATTACTCATGTGTTTGTGGTGATGCTGGTGTAAATGAACTTACTATGCTGCCAGTTATATAACAGTATAGTACATACCATTATGTATAGTACATAATATTTGATAATAATAATAAACAGTCATGTTACTGGATTAGGTATTTACTATACTATAAATTTTATCATTACATTTTAAAATTATATTTTATCGATTATGCTATTACAGTTGTCCCAATTTTTCTCTTTGCCCCTTCAACCAATGCCTCATACTCCCTCAGGCAACCCCCCACCATTGTTCATATCTATGGGTCATGTGTATCAGTTCATTGGCCACTCCATTTCTTGTACTGTACTTTACAACCCCATGGCTATTCTGTAACTACCTATTTGTACTTCTTAATCCCCTAACCTCCTCACCCATTCCCCACACCCCACTCCCATCTGGCAACCATCAAGACACTCTCTGTATCCATGATTCTGTCTCTGTTCTTCTTGTTTGCTTAAATTGTTTTTTAGATTCAATATTTGATGGATATGTATTTTTGCCATTTTATTATTTATAATTGTGGTCTGCTATTTCTCTTTTTAAAAGATTTTATTTATTTACTTTAAGAGCGAAGGGAATGAAGGGGGAAAGAGGAGAGAAATATCAATGTGTGGTTGCCTCTCGCATGCCCCGTACTGGGGACCTGGCCTACAACCCAGGCATGTGCCCTGACTGGGAATCAAACTGGAGACCCTTTGGTTCACAGTCTGGCACTCAATCCACTGTGCCACACCAACCAGAGCTGTTCTTCTTTTTTTCAAATAAGTCCCTTTAACATTTCATATAATAATAGTTTTGCAATGATGAAGTCCTTTAGTTTTATTCTTGTCTGGGAAGCTTTTTATCTGCCCTTCAATTCTAAACAATACCTTTGCTGCATAAAGTAATTTTGGCTGTAGGTCCCTGCCTTTCATGACTTTGAATATTTCTTGCCAATCCCTTCTAGCCTGCAAAGTTTCTTTGGAGAAATCAACTGACAGTCTATGGGAAGTCCCCTGTAGGTAACTAACTGCTTCTCTCTTGCGGCTTTTAAGATTCTCTCTGTATCTTTAACCTTTGGCATTTTAAATATGATGTGCCTTGGAGTGGACCTCTCTGTGCTTCCTGGACTTGCATGTCTATTTCCTTCACTAAATTAGGGAAGTTTTCTTTCATTGTTTTTTCAAATAGAGTTCCAATGTCTTGTTTTTGCTCTTCTCCTTCCGGCACCCATGTGATTCGAATATTAGACCTCTCAAAGTTGTCCCAGAAGCTGCCTATACTATCCTCATTTTTTGGAGTTCTTTCTCTTCTTTTTGTTCTCATTGGTTATTTTTTACTTCCTTATGTACCAAATCATTCATTGATTCTCAGCTTCATCCACTGTACTGTTGTATCCCTGTAAATTGTTCTCTATTTCAATTAGTGTATCCTGCATTTCTGACTGGATCTTTTCATGCTGAGGTCCTCACTAAGATCCTTGAATATCTTCATAACCAGTGTTTTGAACTCTGCGTCTGATAGATTGCTTATCTCCCTTTTGTTTAGTTCTTTTTCTGGAGTTTTGATCTGTCCTTTCATTTGGGCCATGTTTCTTTGTCTCCTCATTTTTGACAGCCTCCTTGTGTTTGTTTCTATGTATTAGGTAGAGCTACTTTGGCTCCCTGTCTTGGTGGTGTGGCCAAATGTAGTAGGTGTCCTATAGGGTCCAGTGGCACAGCCTCCCCTATCACCAAAGCTGGGTACTCAAAGTGTGCCCTCTGTGTAAGCTGAGTACACCCTCCCTCTTATAGTTGAGCCTTGGTTGCTGTTGGCAGATCAATAGGAGGGATTTACCCAGGCCAGCCAGCTGCAAGGATGGTCTGTGACCATTGACCACTCACCTCTGCCCTCTGTGGAGGATCAGCGGTGCAGGGGCAGGGTGGTGGTGTTCCGATGTGGTCTGTAGCTGTCCACTGGATGCTCTGACCATGGGATTTCCTGGGTGGTACAGACCAAGGTCAGCCCCCACCTGTGTTTTGCCAGGGCTGCCCTGACTGAGCTGTAAAGCAATCTGAGATGTCTGCTACTGGTGCTGGGCTTGAGGATTCTCAGATGACTGACCTGGGGCTCACTGAGGCCAGCTGTTGCTTGTTTGAGAAGATTTAGGAAGTTGTGCAGCAGGAGCCAAGACCAGCTATTCATGCAAAAAGCAGCTTGTGTGGGCCTATAGGTTGGGTAGGGCAGAATCTCTGGGGATCTCCAAGGCAGTCAAACAATGTTAGCCACTTTGATGGACTCTCAGATAACCCACCATCTTATCAGCTCAGTCTGGATGGATGTGGTTTCTTTATATCATTACTTTTGAGTGTACTATTTCTACTTATAAAAAGTTTTCTGGGACTTCCATCCAAGATGCAAGCATAGGTAGATACACTTTGCCTCCTTGCACAACCACAAGAAGGACAACAAATTTTAAAAACAAAAAATAACAAGAATTTCCAGAAAGTCGAACTCTATGGAAGTCTGACAGCCAAGGAGTTAAAGAAGAAACATTCATCCCGACTGGCAGGAGGGGCAGAGATGGGCAGCCGGGGTGGAGAGGACTCACCACTAGGCAGCAGCTGGAGCACCAGGGTGGGTGAGGTGGTAAGTGGTGGACCAGGCAGTCTCATGTTTGCATGCAGATAAACTGGGGGAAATAAATGGGGAGTGAGATAGGCCACACAACCCAGGGTTCCAGTGAGGGTTCCAGAGAGGAGAAATAAAGCCTCAAAACTTCTGACTGAAAAACTCTGTGTGTGTTGTGTTGGCCAGAGAAACTCCTGGCCTCACAGAAGAGTTTGTTGAAGAGACCCACAGGATCCTAGTACATACACAAAGCCACCCATCCAGGATCAGCCCCAGAAGGGTCAATTTGATTGTGGGTATTGAAGGAAGTGACTGAAGCCAGCCAAGAGCCAAGCAACCAGCATTGTTCCCTCTCAGACCACTCCCCCACATACAGCACCACAACACAGCAACCTGGGTTGCCCCACCCTGGCAAATACCTAAGGCTCCACCCCTTATAATGTAAGAGGAAAGAAAATATGGCTCAAACAAAGGAACAAATCAAAGCTCCAGAAATAGAAATAAGTGATGAAGGGATAGCCAACCTTCAGATGCAGAAATCAAAACACTGGTAATCAGGATGCTCACAGAAATGGTTGAGTGTGGTTGCAAAATACAGGAAATAATGAAGGCTATGCAAAGTGAAATAAAGGAAGATGTACAGGGAACCAACAGTGACAGGAAGGAAACTGGGACTCAAATCAATGATTTGGAGCAGAAGGAAGAAAGAAGCATGCAATCAGAACAGAATGAAGAAACAAGAATTCTCAAAAATGAGGAGAGGCCTAGGAATATCCTCGAGAGCTTTAAACGTTCCAACATCCAAAGCACAGGGATGCCAGGAGAAGAGGAAGAGCAAGAAACAGAAAACTTATTTGAATAAATAATAAAAGAGAACTTCCCCAATCTGGCAAAGGAAATAGACTTCCAGGAAGTCCAGAAAGCCCAGAGAGTCCCAAAGAAGTTGGACCCAACAAGCACACACCAAGGTACATCATAATTACATTACCCTAGATTAAAATGAAGGAGAGAATTCTAGAAGCAGCAAGAGATAAGGAGACAGTCACCT